AACTATCCTCGTGGTTAATTTTGGATTCTTTTATAACAGGAGTCCCCGGGCCTGCTGTGTAAAAAACTTTAGGGTAAATACCTCCTTTGTTTTTCGCTTAAGCATTTCTTGGGTTTAACACATTGAACTTATTATGTGATTACAGAGAGTCCAAATCCACGTTTTATTCTCATGGTTTTTGTATTTACCTTATTTTGTGCAGTGAGATCCAGGTCTAGTTCTGGCTGTATCTCTTCAAAATTAAACTACCATAGTGAGCAGCATTTCACTTGATAAGGACACAAAATGACTAGATATAAATTGTTTAAGTAATTATATATCAATGGCACTAACAAGGAGGGATTAAGAATGTACCAGTCAGAGTTTTACCTAGTAGGAAAAAAAATTGTTTGGATCAATAACAGTGGCGTTCTTTTAGTTTTTTAGTTTGTACTTATGGCATAATTTGAGAAACGTTTTCTCGAGCATTAAGCTCATATGTAATGTCATTCCCATAATTCTTTCCCATTTAGTTCCTTCATTCCACTGATCCAGCTAGGCAGCTCACATACAGATCCCTGCTCTCCCTAGTGGCATACATTGTTACTCTTGTGGGTAAAAATTTATTTATATTGGTTAGGCTGGGAAGAGGCACAAATTAATATTCTAGGGCTTCCAATTACAATACAGCTGGTTTGCAGAGCTCTTCACCAAACTATAGGCAGAATCATTCAGTGAACTCTAATGTCCAAATTTTATCTCTAAGATGCTAGGATTGTAAAACTGTTATCCTCTTATGTAAAATTCAAGAATGATAGTCTGTGAGCAGTGCTCTTTATTAATGTCTGTAAAGCAAGTGAAATGCTACTACTGCTACTGCTTATACCACTATTTCAAAAGTAAATAATGAACGTACAATTATTAACATGTGTTACATGTTCCCCTTTGCTTCAAAACTCTGACCTACATATAAATGATCCGAGTGAGTAGATCTCCCCAGAACCCTCCAAAAGACAGACATGACGTTCGTTTCCAAAAATGCGATCTCTGCCGAAGGTTGTTTTCATCAAAAATGTCAGGCACAGACTGATTTATAGCCACCTATTCCTGACAGCACAGCAAAGGCAACAGTGTCATCGATTAATTCTTGGCAAACAAAACTCTTTGAAGCCTGACACACGTTCGTTATAATTACATTTCTTTAAGGGCTGACAGTTTCAACTCTTGTTTCTTGTTTTCCTTTTTTATTTCTTAAAAGAGTAGAGGATCTGTAAGTGCCTTTTATCTACCTGGCTTTTTAAAGAAAGGAATACAAAGTTGAAATTTCCTTCTAGGGAATTCCGGACGGCAGGTGATGGTCATCTGGCCTAGGCCCTCCTGCCTTTTTCTAACCCCTAAATAAGTCCTCAGGTGTTCAAATCAGTTTTTAAACAGAAAAGGCGGATCCAAGACTGACACATCATAAAGCTTTCAGACAGATGCCAAATACAATTAGGCATGTGGCTCTGTGCTTCACTTGTCTGGGAGCTGAGCCAGAGGAATGAAGTAATTCATTACAGAAGACGACTCGGCATTGCTGGTAGATTATCTTGTACGAGTTCCCAAGGGGTTGCTCTAGTGTTCACAGTTAGTTAATGTAGAAAGGCCTTAGCAAGTTCCAGTATCCCAGGAGGTTACCCCAACTTGATGTTTTCTAAAAAGGTTGTAAATGAGAAGAGAACATTTGACCCATGCCTTGTTTGACCCATTTTAGTGAAACTAAAATTTGGCCAGTTGTTTCTAGAAGGAGGCCAGAGTTTGGGCTTCAATTATACATTTGAGAAGCCTGTTCCAGATACCCACAAGTATTTATCTAAATAAACTGTTAAAGTTTAAACTGCTAAACTGTAAAATTAATTTACAGTCTGAATTAAACCTCTTTTAGTTTATAGCTGTGATTCCATGTTCTTAATTCACGACTAAATCTGAAATATTCCTCTGGATTGATTTGGACTACTTTGGGTTTATATACTTTATTTACTCTAAATCTTACAATCATAGTCCCTCTTATTCTCCTTTGTTCTGGACTGAAAGAGGTTTATCTCCTCTATCCTGTCAGCATATGAAAATCCCCAGAGACAAGAAATCATTATTGTTGCTCTTCTTTGAGCTCTTTCTGCCTATAACATCCTTTTTGTGGTGTGGTGACCAAAATGGAGCACGGTTCCAGGGTTCTAACAGATTCCTTACTAATGCACTGTAAAGCTTGGCCATAATGTCTCTTGATATAAATTGCACACTTTTTGCTGCTTACCCAACCATTCTGCTTGCTCTTTTCACTTGCTTCTCCACATTCTCTTGATGAGGGCAGGAGAATCTTCCACTGAAACCCCTCTCACGTACTCCTTTCTGCAGCTCAGAATAATAAGATATGTTGTACAGTGGAAATCCAACTTCCTGTGTAGACCACTCTATCAGTTTCCTAACTGTCCCCGAATCTAAATCATTGGTATAGATCAGGAAGTGCAACAGGCTGATAACATAGACCACTGCTCACATCCACCCAATTAGAATCCCTTATGATGATGTGCTTTTTATACTCTTATTGTTTCCCTTAAGATGGCATACTGTTTCCTAGTCATTAATCAGTTTTTGATTCACGTGTGTACATTACCTCAGATATCTATCACTTTTTAGATTAATCCTTCCTCAAAGGGCCTTATCAAAAGCTTTCTTGACCTCTAAATATGTAAAGATATACACTTCTGTGTTATTGATCATTCTTGTTACTTGTTCAAATTATTCTAGTACTGTATACCTTGGCTGTCCCTTAAAATCACCCCCAAAGTAGGTTGTGCAGCTGAAGTCCTGGAGAGATGCAGCGACTTGCTTCTTGCTTTAATGGCAGCTAATCTCTGACTGACTTTATTGAATCAATCAGTTGCTTAATTAGGAGGCACTAACAAACTTTTCAAATCTGTGATAATGACTTTTTAAGGCTGCCTATAAAACCTGCAGGATCCTTAGATAATACAGGGCTCATTATTGTTATCTTCATTTCAACCTACAAGAAATATTAATTTAATATGTTTATTGTTTCTTGTACATCTTCCATTATTTATACCCTTTTATCTTGTCATCTTTTCCATGTTTACAGTTTTGCAGTGCTGTGGTACTGACAAAATGCTTTGCATTATTTTTTGTCTCCTTTGCAATAGAGTTTTCTGTCTTCTTGACAATTCAGATGTATTTTATTATAGTATATTATTTTTCTAGCTTAAACCCGTTGGCCTATTTTCAGAGTTGGTAGAGTACTCTCTTCTTTCTCTTTTTATCTTAATTTTGCTATTTAAGAATTTGGGCTATGTTTCTGAGGATTTGTATTTAATTGTTCTAGAAATGATTTTTTGGAATCTTAAGTACAGTTGACCCTTCTTTCAGCTACTTACTTACAGTAACCCACCTGCTCACTGTGAGCTCTGCCTCAAACCTTCATAGTCTGCTTTTCTAAGATTATAAACCATTATATTGGAATAAAGATTAAGCAAGTTGAAATATACATTAACAGTAATCATATAATAGTCTCAAAATAACAGTGGTTGTGTCATATGTATTATATCCTGGTTAATTGGAAAGACCAGGTTAGTAAGAACATCTATTTTAGTAAGAAGATGTGTTAAAAAGAAATCTTTACTTCAAAACATACCAATGTCAGCTTCTGTATTCTGCATAATTTATGTATTAAAACTGAAATCACCCAAAAACAGAATGTTACTTTGCTGTAGTAGAATGTTTTAAACAGTAAAGTATGTGTGCCCTTGTCTGCACTAAGTGGGCTGTATCATAAACCTATTGCTAAACCATTAGAATTCATATTGGCCAGTTTAGATTCTTATCTCTTTCTATCCTCCTGTGGTAATTCCAAGTTAAGATGGGTATTTATCATCCTCCTCCGCTATGTTTCAGCTGCTTCTCTAGTGCCAAACTTACCTGTTAATGCAGCATGCTTAAGGTCTCACATTCTTATTCCTGCTTCTAGCAATGAGGTATAAGTATTTCAGAATGGTCTATAGTCCTAAGTCCTAAGTGTGGAAATAAACACAGACTCACACAGTACCTGTGCCATTGATTATTAGACCATAGAAAGCAATAGATCATCACCAAATACACCTAAGAAAACTTTTGAAACAAAGAAATCCTGAATTCCAGCATTCCAATATGATAGTGGAACTTTTTCTCCCTTCCTATGGACCGTCCTCTAAGGGCAGCCACAACATCTGCAAACAATTTTCCAGCTGCCTACATAAACCAGTTTATCTTTTGAAATGTATGAGAGTATAAAAGCAACTTCCAGACTTAAAAGCAGATTTAGATAACGGGGCTTCTGACAGGGTTTATAATAGTTAGTAATAATTCCTTACACTTTCTGGACACTCCACTCAAAACACTTTACAGGTAATGGGGACTCCCCTCCACCACCACCAATGTGCAGCCCCCACCTGGATGATGCCACCGCAGCCATAGTGCGCCAGAACGCTCACCACACACCAGCTCTCAGTGGGGAGGAGAGCAGAGTAATGAAGCCAATTCGGAGATGGGGATTATTAGGAGGCCATGATTGGTAAGGGCCAATGGGAAATCTGGCCAAGATGCCGGGGTTACACCCCTACTCTTTTTGAGAAACGCCCTGGGATTTTTTAATGACCACAGAGAGTCAGGACCTCGGTTTTACATCTCATCCGAAGGACGGCGGCTGTTTACAGTATAGTGTCCCCGTCACTATATTGGGGCATTAGGACCCACATGGACCACAGGGTGAGCGCCCCCTACTGGCCCCACTAACACCTCTTCCAGCAGCAACCTTAGTTTTTCCCAGGAGGTCTCTCATCCAGGTAATGACCAGGCTCACACCTGCTTAGCTCCAGTGGGCTGCCAGTTGTCGGTTACAGGGTGATATGGCTGCAGGCCGTTTGATGTTTAGCTTGATTTCGGGCCACACCGTACCCCCGCTCCCTGACGCCCCCTGCTGCCTCCCGCCCCAGCAGACAGCCTGAGCCCCGGCCAGGGCCTGTTGAAGCGGAAGAAGAAGCAGCGCCGGAGCCGGACGACGTTCAACAGCAGCCAGCTGCAGGCGCTGGAGCGGGTCTTCGAGCGCACGCACTACCCCGACGCCTTCGTCCGCGAGGAGCTGGCGCGCAGGGTCAACCTCAGCGAGGCCCGGGTGCAGGTGAGCAAGACCCTGAGCCCCCGGCAGGGCCCGCCACCCAGGACATGCTGTAAGACTGGTGCATGCCAGGGGTAGTCCACATGATGCCGAGCCACCAAGACCTGCTCACTGCGGGATGCTACATGCTAGGACATGTGCATAAGGGTGATGGACAGCTCGATCACATTATAAGATAAGACCACTTTATTGGCCATATACAATTTCTTGCATTAGGAATTTGTCTTTTCGCATACCACAACTTGCTCTCCATGAGACACACAGACAGGGAGAGAGAAGCTTGGGGTCAGAGCGCAGGGTCAGCCACTTTATACAGCGCCCCTGGAGCAGCTGGGGTTAAGAGCCTTGCTCAGGGGCCCAACGGAGTAGGATTCCTCTGCTGGCCGCGGGATTTGAACCAGCAACCTTCCAGCCACAGGCGCAGATCCTTAGCCACAGAGCCAGTCTTGGTAGGAAGCATATCATATGAAGAACAGCAAAAGAAGATCTGGTTGCTGTGCTGTTTTGCACCGGCAGTGGTTAATACTCAAAACAGTTTGTCATTAAGTCTAATATGCTGCTTTATTAAAAAAAAAACACAGAAAGATTCTGGGTTATGGTCACATAGATTCATAGATTGTAGGACACCGATGAGCTGAGCGAGGCTGAAGATCAAAATCTTCTTGGAATAAATCCGTTCCTATAACATGTCATGGATGATGTAAAAGAAGGTCAGAAAGTTAGTCACAAACGCAAATGTTTTTTGTAAAGCTGTTGATGACAGTTCGTGGATAGGTTCTGCAGTTCATGTCCTGACCATTGCAGTCACTGTCTGAACTTGATTAAGCAGGTGCGTGACACTGATCCATCTGTCTTCTCCCAGCATCTTTACAAGTGGTTATCCACATACATTAGACCCTATCACAGACATTATGATTGTCATTGAAATTCACTCATACTGTTTCTGTGACACCTGAAATGGTTTCCTGCAATTTATTAAAATATTTCAGCTTGAAGCACAAGATGGTACACTCTTCATTAGATTAACACTACTGTGTGAGAGATAGAGACTGTCTACTTTGTTTTATGGTTTATTTATGGTGGCTCAGCACATCTTCTTAAATATACTGTAGCTACAGTACCTCATGCATCTACACTTATTACATGATCAAGGGATATGTCTTCTATTTCTGAATGCTATCCTTTGTTACTAGTTTTTTTGTGACAGATTCTCTGGGTTGTAGTAGAGTTATGTGCACTGTTATGTGCACTTATTTTGAGAATGTTACAAAACTCACCTTACCTGCTTTGTGTATATATTCACCATATTTCACAAGCACAGATAATTTTTGGAGTATCTGAGATTAAATGATCTCAAAACTCTGAATTACTGGTATCTGTAATCCCATTTTAAGAACTTAAAATATTTTCTAGTGAAAGGTAGCCTTTTCATCTCACCTTGCTGACTAACGTATTAATCTAACAATATTATTTAGCAATTTTTTTTAAGGACTCCAGGGAATCTGCTTTAAAAATAATTTGTGTAAAGGCATGTCTCTTGTGTTTTCAGCTCCATCAGCATATCCTCTTAAATCCCACTAATTTCTTCTCCCAGGTCTGGTTCCAGAACCGACGAGCGAAGTTCAGACGGAATGAGAGGGCAGTTCTTGCCAGTCGCTCTGCCAATCTTCTAAAGTCCTACAACCAAGAAGTAGTGATAGAACAGCCCGTCGCCCCTCGGCCAGCCCCCCTCAGCTCAGAGTATCTCTCTTGGTCCTCAGCCACACCCTATAGGTGAGACACTGGACACTATTGCTCTACTTTCCTACTGTGAACTACTGTGTGAATGTGTGGAGCACACATCCCTTAACATTCCTGAATGTAAATGTAAAGATGGTATAGTAGGTATAGTTAAATTTCCAATCAAATTGATATCTATCTCATTCAACAGGGTGTCCCACTCAGCTTTTCAACTGCTAGATATTATTCTGGTTACTTCCTTATTGAGTAGCAATCAATAAAGACATTAAAGGATGGGCATTAAGTAAGCCCTGCTCAAGAATGAAACAGGGAGAAACCATAGCTATCCCCTTGAAGAAAATCAATCCTTAGCTTTGAGCTTTGAATCAGTAAATCTTTAGACCAAATAATGAACCGGTTATTATGAAGTGATGAAAATATAATGATCTATTTCTGTCAACACAGCTCTGAAAATAAAAAATAAACTGACTAGCGTCCCAGTACTACCGAAACAGCCACAAATATCTTACAAGTATTAGAGAGTCAAGCAAGTTTGTTGGATTCTAACAGTTTGACAGAAATTCTGCGGTATTGCACTGAGTCAAGAGCCGGTCCCATATTTACAGACGATTCTCTTGTGCTTGATTTGCAGTGCAGTGCCCAACTATAGTTCATCCAGCACACCCACTGCAGGGCAGGGAGTCACCATGGCCAACAGTATTGCCAGCCTGCGATTAAAGGCCAAGGAGTACAGTCTGCACCAGAACCAAGTGCCCACAGCAAACTGAACTTACAGCTTTTCAGCCACAGACCCACGAACAGACTGACAAATTACCAGGAAAACCACACTTACTGACCCAGGATCTGTGACTGCGTCTTTGAGTACAAGTCTGTTGAAAACCCATGAGCACTGATCTGAACCAGACTTTGTACAGTGCTGATGTTGAATGCAACACGGTTGCTTTGTTGTCTAAAAGAAGCCATATATTAGTATTGGAGATGTACAGGACTTCTATTTTTATATCATTTGTGAAAGGCTTTGTGTTGTGAAAGGCTTTCATGAGTTATGGTCTTTTTTTCGGTAAACATGGTAAAATACCAATACCCTCTCAGCTGAGTTTCCCGTTTGCATTTTTTGTTCCAATTCTACAGCTGTACTTTAAAGGATATTGTGAATGTCCAAGGATTTTAAGGGCAGGGTACAGGAGAATAACTGGTTGAATACCACAGACTTCACTAAAAGTGAAACTATTTGTTTTTGACATAGCAAGATGGAAATTGTGCAGTGGAACTGTGATTACACTACAGTTTTTCCTAAGTGAGAAGATTACTGGATTTTTTTCCATTGCTTTGTGAGGAAGGAATGATCAAAATGCTATGCAGAAAGAGAGAGACAGAATGTGCAGAGGTTAAAGAGTTTATTTATTGTAAGCAACATTCAATTTTGTTTTTGGTCTGTTATCTTTTTGATTCACTACTTTCAATGGATGGTGAGGACTGCATTGTTTTTTTTTTCCAGAACTTTCTTGATTCTAGGTTTCCTCATCACATGAATTGCTCTAAATAGAAAATAACTCAGTGTAGAGTTTCAACTGTTATTCTCACCCTTTGCATCTAGGTCTCAAGGATTTTACAATCTGGTTTTGTAAGTGATGAAGGCAGTTAACTACAGGATGCTAAAAGATAAGTGTCTTTACATTCTCCGAGGATACATTACGGCCAAACCGCCCACTACATAGCAAATAAATGGCTTCGCTTTCTCATAGGGAATGCTGGGCCCATGTAGTTTAAGCCTCCCAAGGAGAATTTTCCAAACTTTTTAAAAAACCCTTAAAAATTGCTTGGAGCCATCAGAAGTAACTTCCTATGAAAAACATATTGCCAGCTGTGGGTGGATTTAAATGTGGAGTAACCATGACTTAAGAATAAAGAAGACCCTCAAGAGACTATACAAGAGGCAGTGAGTGACCGTTCCAAACCCCAATTTCTTGACTTACAACACTGAGCCCAATTTGACATTTTTCAGATTAGCATGTGAAAGCTCCACTTTTCCATGGACTTGAACTTTCTTTGCAAATCTCGAGGTCCAGGTCTCACCAGCTTTTAAATACACAGTGTGCACTCTCGGTTCTGTGCTCTGCAACGAACGATTGCTTAACAAAAACACGCTGTCACCACTTGTCAATGCAGAAATCACTGCGATTGCCTTGCTACTACTGCAGTAGATTCCAGAGTCCTGTTAGACTCTCACTGAAATTCACGACAGTGTTTGTACAATTCTGTCTCTTGTAAAAAGATCGGCCAGCTGTTGTGTGTGTGTCTGTATTTCTCTCTCTCTCTCTGATTTGTACAAATAAACATATATAAAAATTTTGGAATAAAGATTTTTGAGTGTGATGAAATCTGCACAAAACAAAAGAAAAAAAGAAATGAGCTTCTTTTGGTTGCATTTCACGAGGTCATTCTTTCAATGTTATAAGAACATGATGGTCTGGTAAGAATTACTCCATTTTACAGGCGGAATTAAATTAAGCTTTGTTTCTCACATACTTCTAAAGAATGTTAGCTTCCTTGCAAATCGAATCGCAATTAAGTATCGAGACTGGGTTTGTTTTTGTTCTGAAGACAAAAGCGTCAGAAAACTAGAATTACGAGAGCAAAACATCAAAACAAGAACACTTCAGAACATTTCTTTCAAAATGCTACAGTAAAGGGGTTGTACTGTTGATTTTGGCTAGACAAGGTCAGATTATTAGATCGTCCTTGGCAACAGTTCTGAAAATCGAGACTTTTCCTGGCAGAGAAGGGAAGAAACTGTAAAGCACCCATCAGTATCACCTCCCCCAACCTCTCATCACTACCAAACCAGTGCGATGTTAATTTCCATCATAACTGCGTACCAGATGGTCATTATGCGATTCAGTTTCACACATAACAGCCAGTTTCTGTATTTTCTCTTTTTTTTTTCCTAAAATGCCTGAACATGGAATCACCCACCGCTCAAACAAAAATGTAAAAAAAAAACTACAAGAAAAAAGGTTCCAGTTAGAAGTCCCCATAATTATATTTGAAGGGGAAAAACTGAACTATAATTGCTGGGTTTTTGGTGAAGTTCCTCTCCTGTTACAGCATGGCTTATGTGGGGACAGAGGTTACTTCCAGGCAGCCCTTGTGTTGGAGGTCACTCCATTCTTATCAGGTTACCTTATGCCCATCCACTCCAATTAGAGGGGTGCCTGTGATTTCTCATTTCAGACCTGGAGCAAATCAAGTAGAGGCTTAGAAATGGGAAAGGTTAATTCAAGCTCCTCTTACTGCATTTCACTTTTACATCCACCATTGCTAAAAATCTCCCTAGAATATTTTTAGTTTGGAAGGGCCAGTCTATTTCTAAATACATAATAGAAACAAAATCCTCAAAAGAGCATGTTTGTTGAGCTTAGTTAAATAAATTTAAAAAACAATCCTTGTGTATGAGTATCATATGTTGTATATTTCATATAATGGCAGATGGTTAAAGCTGAAATCACTGCTTCAGACTCTCTTAGATGTTACCAGGACTTTAGCAACAGGATCTCAAAATTACATAGCAGTGTCGCCACCTTAAAGCTTCATCTGGACAAATTTTAGAAATAAAGCAAGTTTGGGCCTTGAAGGTGAGACTATGCTAATGGTGCTAGCTGACCAGCAGGTGGCACTCTTTACTCTAGAATTTCCAAACCAATGCCACAATATGATAACAGCGTTCATTGCGCTGTAGGAGAGGCGGTTCTTTAGATGAGACATTTGTCCTGAATACTTGGTCATTAAAGGTATCATGGTGTTAGTTGCAATAGTAGGTATGTTAATAACAGTATCCTGGTTAAATACATAATGTTTCACCCCATACCCCCCCTTAATTAAATGGGTGACGTAATTTCTCTCTCCTCCATGTGGTTTGCCTTCAAGTGGGGCTGACCGTGCAAAATCCTGGCTGTGCATCACTTGTTGGATGAAGTGTATCTCCTCTTAAACGAAAGCAGGACAGAAATGAATTCAATATAGTAATTTACAGAAAAGGAGCAAAAACATCCTGTGGCCTCTCATAGCTTGTCCATGCCTTAATTCCTCAATGAGACAAAATACAAAGATCATTCCAAGACTGAGGTTTCAAGTTTTATACTCTGGCATGAGCTGAGCATCCACTACAAGATATCTAGTGAAGAACCAGATTATCAGACTACAGAAAGAACTTATTGTTATATTCTGTGGTCCAGCTGGACACAGGTCATGTAATTGCTGTAGCAAGATTCAAGAGTGCAGCAAGATGCACTCAGCCTTTGCCCCTCATACTACAGAAGGTATTGGTGTCTAATGAACAACAGACATCCCACTGCTTCATGACAGAACGATTTGGGCTTGATGCCATTTGCTTTCTCCTTAATTGCCACCCTTCCATCTCACGGCAGTGTTTCCTTCACTTATTCACTTCAGGACAATATCCTCTGGACAAAAAGTCAACAACAGCATCTGTGCAATTCATGATATATGGGAACCATGGATTTCAATCCACTAAGCGCCTGGTTTTCCAAACATGTTTTGTTATTGAGTAAACCCATGATTGATTAACTATAGTCTTTTTCAGATTTCCAAATGAAGACAAAAAATGTTACATTCTTTACTATGCACATTCATGATTTTGCATAAGCCCTGTAAATAATTTACTGATGCAGATTCCAAGATCCACATTCAATGCTCTGGAGCTTTTTTTTTTAATGCAGAAGTCTAAAAGCCCACAACATCTAAGGCACACTGTAGAACAAGTGTAGAAAAATGAACCTTTGGTTCCACTTAGTCTTAAAAGACTGTGATTTATTGTAAGGTAGAACATAATCTACCAGAACAAAGGTGCTAGTTTGAGTCATGTTGTTTTTGATTAACAGCCTTTTAATTGAAAGCCTAAAAATATTTTCAACTTTAGTCCCTGAATGAAATGCAGTTGACTTTTTAAAAACTGTTCACACCTTTTAAGTGATTAATTGTATCAACCATTAGTATTTTCTTAATTACAGGATTTGTTTTGTTATTCAGTTGAGTATAATATAATTATTTTTATTATTGTAATTGCAGTGTTCTGCAGTATTGAAATAAAATAGAACATAAAATAAACATAAAATTAGTTTACGTTCAGGGACATCTATCTGTCCTTCAGAAAACTAAAATGGTTTATTACCAAACATAAAAGATGTTTTTCCGTGATCTGTAGCAGAAATACACAGTATGTAACCTCCTATATACCGCTCAGTGTCAAATATTCTTGTAGACAAATTAATTTTGAGTTTCTAAGTGTATAAAACTGGAAAATTAGACTCAGGCGAGATTACTTTAAGATATTACAAGCAAAAAGCAAAATCAATCTGTCATGTTTGATTGCTAGTAGCTAATTGATTCTTGGATTTCAGCAATTTTTTAAAGAAGCCAGGGTATTTGCTACAACAACATGGCTGGATGGCTTATTTCATACTTATACCACCATTTGGGTAAAAAAATGTACATCATATACACAGTTTTAAATGTTCGTAACCATAACTTGGGGAAAAAGAGCTTATGAAAAGCTTGTGTGAACAGAAATACAAATCCCTTATTTTTTATGATATCTTCACTGTATTTAATAACAGTTAAAAAATGTTGGCAAAGGAACAAATATGCTAAGTCATTTAGGACCTTTAAACACAGTACTACAGCAGGGCCGTCCAATTCTGGATCAGAAGAGTTAGTGTGACTTCATGGGTTTCATTCCAGCTCAGCTCTTAATCTAAATCAGCTCATTCCTGGTTTAACAATATAGCCCAGTTCAGCTGCTGGTGATTTAAATCAAGTTAGAAAACCTGCAGACACAGCGCCCTTTCAGGATCACTATAGGGCATCCTGTACCATGAAATGCCGAGATTGGATTAAAAAGGAATTATTGGAGGACACAAGCCACTAGGTGGCAGAAGAACCCAAGGATTTATATTTTGAACTCTCAATGCTGCGATCCTGTTTAAAAAGTCCTGCAGTACATCAAGGACAGTGTTGCTCCAGAAAAGAAAATGAACATTGAATGGCAAAGCAAAGACATATTGAGGCACAAGATGTGCAACAACGGAACCACGTTTATAGAAAGCATGGAATGTTTCTTAAAAGTGCATGTACCACAATCATCCAAGCTACAAAAGCTGTAAATGCAAGTTACAGTATTCTGTATGATCACCCATTTAGCATCAGTGACTGCAAGGTATCTGTGCCTTATACAGGTTATCACATCAGGGTGATCAGGTTGTCACAACTGTAACCTCCCTCTAACTGAGTCTATACAGCACGTGGACACAAGGATCATGTCTTGGGTTTGAACAAAATCCTCTGTCACCAGTTTTCATGTGAACGTTGTTGTAGCACATACAATGTGTGAATCACAGACATTAAATGGATGGTGTTTACATTTTTATGTTTGTTCCATTTTCAAATCTTAAACATCAGAGAAGTTAGAGAACTAGAAAACCTGGTATATAAAGTGGAAAGTGGTAGGACTGGTCTTGGTTGCCATTGCTATTGTCTATTAAGCCACAGTTTAGCTAGAGAACTGACATGAACTGTGATCCTTGGGTGAGGAATGACAAGCCGTAGTTCATCAGTTCCTTAATTAGGAGATACTTGCATGTTCTCACTACAGGTCTGTGGTTCTCCTGGAGCAGGGATCCCGGTCTTAGTATTGTCTTGTGCCCCTTCTGTTGATAAACCAGAAACAATCTAAATAGACTGTGACCCAATCCTATAGTGTTGTCTGGTTCCCCCCACTGGTCACAAGAAGCATTACAAATCAACTTTCATTTTTACTCCTTCATCCTTTGTATTTTTGGCTCTTCAGACAAAAAGATGAATTACTCATCAATATGCACGATGAATAACCTTTTAAAAGACCTTCTTTACAGATAAGTCATGTTACTGAAGCAGATCTTCAAGGATCTATTAAAAAACTGAATTAAATCCTTAGATCAAAATTGTTCTACCAGCCACATGAATGTTTACAACCTTTTTCTAATGATCTGTAAATTTAATCCCAGAATGACCCAAGCTGGCAGGAGATTTTTGATTTTGTTGGACATTCTTTTTGTGCGATTATGGGAAGACTGCTTCAAGTGATACAACTGAAGAAACTACACCAGCTCAAAACTTGCACTTCATCTTTAACTGGACACTCCACAATACATCGTTTCTCAATCTGCATTTTGATACTTTGGTTTTATTGACTTACAGACAAAACATTTATCCATATAATTTTCGTGCAGATACAAAAAAGGTTACAATTCCAAAAAAGAACTACGAAAATAACAACAAAGTGGTAAATCCTTTGACATAATACAATGTTTCATAGGCAGTGCAGATGAACAGTGTAGCAGTTGTCTGGAGAGTGCTTTCCATTATTGACGCCTCTCAACTAGCATGTATGAAAGATGTAAACTTGGTGCTGCAGTGATTTTAATTAGTTCAAATACATTCATTAAATTTGGTGAGCAAGTTACAGGCTTTTAATGTTTCTACATCACCATCATTTTACATACACTCAAAGTACTGTGCTTTGACGAATATGGAATGTATCCATTTTCCATCTTGAAACAGTGCAGTGTTTAACGCTCAGTTCACACTTGTGGCAATCCTTAAAGATGAAGGTAAGACATCTTTCCCACAGGACGTCACTCACAGTGACCAAGTGGGATTAATTTAACCATTTTCCCTTTACCTCAATGCAAAACGGACATGAGAACAATTTGCTTTCAACTGGAAAAAGTGCCGTCTAATGGTGACTTAAGCTGTTGTTTTGCAAATGAGGAATTTCCAGCAAAAGTAGGACATGATGAGCACAAACATTCAAGTCCTAATTATACATTTTATAGTATAACACAAGAGCACAGTTTGAAGAACGTTTCTGGCACCGAAGATCTCACTGAATTTGTAAATTTAAGTGTGCCTGTATAAACACTTAACCATGTTTTGTGCATTATATAAACATTTAGCAAAATAAACATTAATTGCTATCACAATACATGCCAATATCAAATAGTTAAACCAGATACAGTAGATTCTTTAAATTCCTTACCTGGCAGACCAAGCTCAAATGAACATCCATTCATACACTCGGTTAAGATGGTTCTGCTATGTGGCAATGGCCAAGTTATTTTTTCATAACTTCAAGAACTGTAGTAAATTTTTCATGCCATCCCTTGAAACAGACTTAATTGTGCAGCAAAATGCCATCTAATGATTAAAATGGTCTTGTCATGTGCCTGCCTTACATCCAACATCTTATTTCACAGCTATGCAGAAACATCCACTGCAGATGCACCGGACCCTTCAAGTATTTACTTCTCAACAAGAGGCTTTCATCTGATAAGAGAGATACAGAACAGAGTAAGAAACTTGTCAAGGCAATGATTAGGTAAAGAAATATTTGTTCACAGTTCTTTAGTGTTTGTTTAACGAGAAAAAGGACGAAATGCATATTATCTGCTCAAACAGGGTCGAAGAAAAAGGGTCCAAGGAAAAGTGTAAGCACAGTTCTTCTCTTTTGCAGGTAAGGGACAGCACCTGCTACCATGAGATACCTTTTTTCTTCTTGCAATTCAATTATCGATTTTTTTCCTATGGTTAGGTAGACATGGACCGCTGGGAGAAAATATATTTTATGAAGCTCATTTGTGAAATGACGATGCCTCAATGAACACAAAAAAAATTAACAAACACCTTTGCTTAAATAATTCCTAAAGCTTGCAAATCCATCTCTGACAAAGTGGATTTTCTGTTGATTTTAAGCACTTAGAAATACTGGACTGCACTGACAAAAACTTGGTATTATGGTTAAAGAATTTCAAAAGATTAAAGAAAAAAATCACATTCACCAACTTGTATGAAACTAACACTCTCGGACATGACCAATAATTCACCAATAAGCGGCCACAGCAATGAGGATCTGGACAGCCATGGAGACACAGGGAACTTGTGCAACAGTGTAGGCCAGGGAACGTGTAGGAGCTTTCAGGGCACACAAATAGGCGACAGTGTGGACTAGCCGGCCTACAAAGAAAACCTGAAAGTGAATTCGGGCTACAAGCAAGGTTGGTTCTGTCATGGAGTAAACGGCTCCCAGAAACAGGAAGGGGAAAATATTCTCCATGTCGTTGCGGTGAGCCCTGAAACAAACATAGAAATGACAGGTTTAAATAGGCAAGTCCAGCCAGCCTTCACTTTCAAAACAAAACTGTAGTTCTTTTTCTACAATGGCAGGACAAAACTTCAAATGTAGCAAGATTTGCACCCAGTTTCATAAAAAGAGATAGAATTTCAAAGTCCAAGTTGAAAAATGTTTCGATTTATACAATGAACATGTCTGACAGTACTACATACTGTATAACTCAGGTTATGGGACAATTCTACTCTTTCTTTCCCATTAAACTCACTTTCTGGGCAATGGTTCTCAAACTGTGGTACGCATACCAGTTGTGGAACGCGGAGCGCCGCCAGGCGGTATGCCATATGACCCCGGAACTTTGTTGTGTGCACTGAAAAATTGGGACAGGTTTTCAAAATGTTCTATTTGAATAAAATTAGTTTGTGTCAAATACACAGCCTACGTACTACGATACAGCACGCGCTAATACTTGAGTGGACACAAGAGCTATAATGAAATTCTATACCATTCTACAGAAATACGTGCTACGAAGGCAAGTGACCAATTGTATTTAAAAAAGGTTATCAACCAACGGTCCTCAAAACTGCTGCCATTACCCCCGTGCAAAAAGCCTAACATGGCTCTCGACAATCTTAATAATTTTCGCCCCATCTCCAACTTACCCTTTCTTGCAACAATTCTAGAATGTGCCATCATATTTCAGTTTCATAACCAACTCATGGCAAATAACCTTTTCGAAGCCCTCCAATCTGGCTTCCGTCAACTTCACAGCACAGAAACTGCCCTGGTCAAAGTCACTAACGATCTTCTAATAGCTTCTGATTCTGGTTCTCTTTCTTTACTCATCCTTCTTGATCTCAGTGCTGCTTTTGACACTGTTGACCATGGCATCTTACTTTCTTGTCCTGAGACTGTTTGGAGTTTCTGACACTGCTCTCAAATGGCTCAAGTCTTACCTCACTGATCGCTGTTACTTAGTCTCTCTTAATGGGTATACCGTAGGTCTGAAATTGGTCTGGTGTTCCTCAGGGCTCAATACTGGACCCCTTGCTCTTCAGCATTTACAGTACATGTTTCCACTTGGTCAGCTTTTAAGATCACATGGCCTCAGCTATCATTTCTATGCTGATGATACTCAAATATACATCCATACCAAACCTGACACTGATGTGGCTGGCTCTATTCTATTTAATTGCATCTCTGACATAAAAACCTGGATGACTAAATTTCCTTAATCTTAACTGACTACGCCCTACTATATGTTGTCACTAACTGTGGCTGAAAAGCTTATCAACACATTTGTGTTCTCTCGAATTGACTACTTGACAAATTGACAGCGAGAATGCTCTGTTCTAATTGCATCTCTGACAAAAACTTGGATGACTCAAAATTTCCTTCATCTTAGCTGACAAGACTGAAGTCATGCTAATTGACATCCCCCATCAGCTTCGTAAAGCCAATCCTGTAACCCTATCTGTAGATGGTTCTATACTTGAGCTTCAGTCTAAATTGAAAAACCTTGGGGTGATATTAGATTCTGGCTTAACATTCGACCCACATGTGCAGCATATTGTCAAAACATCTTTTTTTCCCACCTCAGAAATACAGCTAGACTACGCCCTACTGTATGTTATCACTAACTGTGGCTGAAAAGATTGTCAACACATTTGTGTTCTCCCGAATTGACTACTTGACAGCAAGAATGCTCTACTCGCTGGGGTATCTAAACTGCAGTATGTGCAAAATTGGGCAGCCAGAATCCTGACCAGGTCTAGTGCAAGTGACCACATTACTCCTATCCTGGAGTCCTTGCACTGGCTTCCTGTCAATTTCCTTGTGGGCTTTAAAATCCTCATGCCCACCTATAAGGCTCTGCATGGCTTGGCACCTCAGTACCTACAGTATCTGAACTTTTATCGCCTTACTCCTCACCTCACAACCTTCACTCTTCTAATTCTGGTCTCCTAACTGTCCCCCAAGCCCATCTACATTCGATGGGTGACAGGGCCTTCTCCTGTTATGCCCCCAAGCTCTGGAACTCTCTCCCCAAGGATATCAGAGAGTCACCTTCTCTAAACTCCTACAAATCAAGGCTCAAAACCTTCTTTAGAATAGCCTTTACTTTCTTTACCCCTCTGCTTCTACTTTTCTTAGTACCACCATCCACGGTCTCCTCTGTCTATTGTAATTTTGTTTTATCGTGTGTTTTCTTTTTATTTATCGTTGTCATTCTGTAAAGCGCTTTGAGAAGCCACCGTTAAAGGCGCTTTATAAAATAAAATTTATCATTATCTTCCACTTTACTTTTTTAGAGCACAGTTTCAATGCTAGGTTTGTACTCTTGAAAAATGAATGCATCCCTGGCTGTTATCCGAGTGACCAGCAAAAAAAAAGGACTATATCCAATGTAACTTCAGAGTCTCTCAATGGCAAAAGACTGAAAAGGGAGACTGCAACCTGCTTTGAATCAATTGGAAATTGAAACCAAATGTGAAGTTAGGACTGACGTTCACTACTAAAACCACATCTTAGTGCCCCCACTTCCAGTAGCTATGACTCTTCAATCACAAACTGCTGTTTCATACTTCCATTACGAATTCTGAGACTTTCACAGATCTGTTGTCTCTTCATCTACTTCTAGAATTACAATCCCACCTAATATTCCTTATTCAAACACATTCATTACATTTCTCAGTTAAACCAATGCTAGAAGTTTCTAGGTAATTGCTTTATGCTCATGCAGTTGTGTTTCTGCCTTCTGATGATTAAAATGCCCTGGGTGTACGTCAAATAATGCCAGTTACATCTTATAAAAACACAGTAATTGGGGAAAAAACTGTTTTTGATTGTTTTTATAAGTTATGTCTCATTCGTTTTGCAATGCTTTTTTGATGAGTTCACTATCCCTAGATACCCTTCTCTTCATTAATGCATGGCTTTTAGACAATCATGGTTTTGTGGAGAACAAAAAAAATGGAAAGTTTTCCTAATACATGCCAGTTTTTTTGTTTTTTTAAAATCTTAAGCCATCGTGTGGCCTGAGAAAAAAAATAAACTCAGTTTGTCATCACTGTGAGTGTTCTTCATAATTGCATCACAAACACGGAAGATGACGACAGTGGGAAAACACGATTTACACCCAGTTTCATTGTTTGTTTTACCTTGATGAATATTATAAATATTCAAAACAGCAGAAAACAAAACAGACGTGAGCTGCCTACAAGAAATATGTAATAAATCCTCATTCCTAAGTAGAAAGAAATGTAAAATGATAACAGGTGGCTGGAAACTATCATCAAACATTCACAGCTCCTGTTTATTCTAACTGTTAATGGTACCATGAGGAGACTGCATTCACTCCCTCATTCCCTGCTATGAACAACACTCATCTCTTCCTGGCACACACACAATGTTTAACAATCCAAGTTTGCATACCTCCTGCAAATACTGTCAAGGGCTACAGAGAAGCAGTCTGAAATATTTCAGAAGCTGTCTCTGTTCATCACTTGAAGTTGTTGTGTAGTCCTGGTATTGGCAAAGTGTTTTTCCTCTTTTACATTTTTAAAAACAACACCTTTCAGCAGCTGTATTAGATATTTATTCATATTCACTAAGTGAAAAGATCAATGTGCAAAACTACCTTTCTGAGCTGTTTCTACTGTGTTTTCAGAATGATGATACTGTTTCCGCTAAATTCATTATTTTTTTTTTTGCTTAAGACATTAAAAAATCAAATTAAAACTTTTTGGCTTTAACAGAGTACTTGTCATATAAATTAAAATGACCTGAAGGTGGAAGCTTCAAAGAAAGACAGCAGAAACATATTGATAACAGAATGAGGAAAGGACAGATTTTCCAGTCACAGCAGGACAGATTTCACCTGAACTTTCACTAATATTGAATGTACTGACACGACCATTCAAACAGCTGGAAACATCATCTACAGAGTGGCTGAGAACAATGATGTATGTTGTTCTTCAATGTAATCCCCAATGGCATTATACAGATACCTATGATGCTGTGACACTTACAGAAACATCAATGTCTTTAGTATATTATGAAATAAAAATGTTTTTTGTTCATGGTCTGTAATGACCGTGAATCTTGCGGGTTACGAGGAAGAAACAAAAAAGAATAAAATTCTCACCTACAGCCTCTCTGAACATGGTAATGGACCTAAACAGCTACACAGATATACTGGACATAAACATGTATAAGGAGAAGGGATATCATAGCCATTCCAACCTTCCTGTTTTAGGGTCTTGTGTTGAAAATAGTCTCCAGAGTCCAATCTACACAGAAATGGCCCCAATATCATTGGTGCCTCCAGCATTTTTACAGATTAGACAGGAGATGAAAACATTTCCTTCTATTCAGACTACAGTTAAGTAAATGTTGGTGTTAGCGGTGCCAGCCCTAGCGATAATGGCATTGAATTGGGCCTCACAAAAACAAAACCTGAGATGGTCTTATGAGGGAATTAACTGTTCCAACACACTAACTGGACATACGCCAACTCTTAAAAGTAACCAGCTTCAATAATACTTATCTCAAGCTACCTTGTTGATGGTTACACATCACAAAGCAGATGTGAAAAGAATCCTTCTACTTGTACATTGCAGATTATGTAACATCTCCATCGAACTGTAAATATTATTAAATGAACAACATAACATTCTACTTTTTCTTCAGAATGACTTCCCTTGAGATGGCTTTTAAAAACTATAATGCATTTGCATAACATGTAACATTTAGGCACTGATCCTATTAGAATGTTAGTGATTTTGATGTACTATAGATATACTTGGGTATGAAACATCCAAAGTTAAGATACTAGCTGAGCAAAGTGGATTCATTACTCATTTAGTTTCAGCAGTTCTTACACAGTTACAGTTACACAGTTACAGTTGTAGGTAGATACCTATTCTATATGTGCATGTATGCATTACATTTTGGTCATGAAGCCTAAAAGATTGCCTCATGACAGCTATATAAATTATGGTTAAATATTCAGAAAGTTGAATATTGTAGTACAGCTCACCTCTATGTCACACATTTTTTACTACTAGGTGTCTCAGGAAGGCTATAATAATTGTTAAAGATACCAGTCATCCTGATTCCTCATTTTTCTCCCCCCTTCCCTCTGGTAAGCGTTATAGGAACATAAAGGCACGTCCCAGACTCAGAGACCGTTTCCACATGCTTCAGATTACTGAACTCTACCCCTACCACTGGCTCACACTGATACACTGATGGGTTTTTTTCTTCTATAAGATGTGTGTTAGTTAACTTGTTGTTGTTGCTGCTACTATTTCTGTCTTTATGCATTTTGGCGTTACCTTAATGTCTTTATATTAGAGCATACATGCATACATACATTGCACTTGGGCATATGACAATAAACTGAACTGGTAATGAATTCACTTCAGTTCCCCAAAAATGTATTCAAACGGACTTTTACAACCAAGGAACTAACTTAGTGATTTATACTGATGCCAGGTGGGTAGCTGCTTCAGCACAACACAAACACAACGTTTCGGCCGTGGAGCCTTCTTCGGGTGTAGCCTTCTTCAGACACCTGAAGAAGGCTCCACGGCCGAAACGCTGCGTTTTCTCTCTTCTTTTTTTTCAGAATAGAATAAACCTATTACTTGTTCCTATACTGATGCCAGACTACATAGCCAGTCCCTTTTATTCTTATTAACTGCATGCTGGTTACAGTCTGTCTAAATTATATATATAAACATTAAATAGATTACTTTAATATTTTCTTAACATCAAAATGTCGTGTAGTGTCCTGTGTAAGTAAGAAGTTATGTCTTTGACAAGCTTTATTTTATAAAGCAAACTAGAAATGTTAGTAGGTCATATTGGTATATAAAGACACCAAAGAAAACTTAAAAACCTGATGCACCGATGGGTTAAATATCACAATATTACAGGCACGGCAGAGATCTGTGATGTAGAAGCGCCTGCTGAGAGTTGTTTTGCTCATACTCCAGAGTGGAAAGTTTTTGGAAAAGAAGCAGCTGCCTTTTTTTTTTTTTTTTTACACAGACTCCCACTATCCAGACCAGCTATTTCCTGGCAAGCTCAGGATTTGATAGGGCTCCAGGGGCTACACTACATTCTCCTTTTCTTGTAAAAAAAAAAACCTGCTAACCCTCAAACAAGCCATCTTCCTAGATTCATCAAGAAAGCTATATTCCATCTTAACCTGTGAGGAACAGGGAGCTAATCGCAAAAGGTAACAACAGATCCGTCGCCAGAGAACAGTCATTTATCTTCTAGCATCAAGCAAAACATTTGCCTTTAGAAGACAAAGGATCTAAAACAAAAACCAATATAACTCCCTAACAGCCTTGAATTAATTTAGCTTTTTTTGAGAAACTACAATTTGCTCTAGTTAATGCAGAAAAACACCAGTGTGTTCCATCATAGAACAATCCAGCAGTAAGACACACAACACACAGTATATATTGTGAAATGAATGTGCCTGACTCAAGGTTGCACTAAACAGAGCGGTAATTAATTGTGGCTTTGTATTTATTTCTTTTTGGTTTCCTAAGTGTTTAATGCGAATAAACTGTTTTGAAATCCTCTGTGACACTGTTTACTGGATTCCCTAGTATTTGTGTAGCTACAATGTTTTTACCAAGCAGTACCACAAATGTCTTCCACAGAGCCTCCTTAGGTACTCCTTTACCAAACGGTTTTCAAATTTGACCACATACACTTCTTTTTCCATCTCCCTGGTTGGCCGTTTCTTTGAAACGTCTGCAATTTAACATTTCCTGGAGAACGGTGAAGGGTTATATTTGTTTAACAGCAACAGGCAAAAGTCAGATTATATTATTCTTTATTGATACTAGATTTACACACTACTTCCTTTATTTCCTTGTTCTCCCCCCAACATGTTATTTCCAAAGATTTGAAAACAAAGTAAAGGAATGCACACAAACTAAATTCCAAAGTCAGTGAAATGTTACCAACCATATTATTTTTGAGGGATACAGTTTAATCATAAATGTCACTTTATCAATAAAAAATGCCATCCCTTCTATATAAAGTGCACACAAATGGTGTTTACCAGATACAGTCCATTTCTCATTGCAACGCTGAGTAAAAGAGTCCTTAACCACTTCACGAAGCATGCAAAAATATTATAGGGAATATTTTGATTACCAGAAGAATAATAGTGATCAGTGTTTGAGAATAACTGAAAATGTACTCTAGTAATTATCATAAAAAGTCATCTTTAACGTAACCCATAGTAGGAAAACTATAGACAACCGTCAAGTTAGCGTGACATTTATATATAAATGTGAAAAACGAAAAGGAACAAAGAAGTCCAACTGTAGCACACATGTCACATCCTTATACTTTATGTTTAATAAAAAATAATAAGAGGACCACGAATTAAAGCTTCTTGAAACCAAAACTGGCCATGTATGTCAGGCTTGAGAAATCATTCCGTGTCCTATTTTGCCCGTTATGAAAAAATCACGGTGGAAACGTCCAGAAAACAGGTTTTACAGAAATAATACTTGCGTACATCGTAGTGCGTCAGACGGACCTTGATTTCGTTGTTTTGAATAGTGGGCAGATCATTTTTTAACTCGCCAAGTTCAAACACTATTAAACCATAATATTTGGATTACACGTTTTATTATTTACGCAGTGCCGTTGGTGGCGTCTTCTAAGCTATCTAAACTTATTTTTTACGCCTACACTTATTCAAAACACTGCACTTACCTTCTGCATCTTTCCACGTCTGGGTCCTCTCTGAAGTACTGGATTCCTCCATGTCGCAGTGCATCTTCGGGATTAGCAAACGCCTGAGATGAAAAGAACAAATCACTCCCTACAGAGTGAGGTATGTATCGATACTTGGCGGATTGATATTTATTTTGCGCGGGGACCACCCCCCTCTTTTGCGTGGGGTATTTAAAAAAGTTTTAATACGTGAATGTAAAGATTAAAAAAAAGTCATTTTATATATTTAATCCCCCCAAGGCTTTGCTGTAAAACCTTTACACTATGTTCCAGCAAAGAAACATCTGTATTCCGGCGACTCGCCTACATTCTTTCAACACACGGCTACACTGAAACGTAGTTTTTAAGCTGTTGTTTCCTAAAGGCGACGATAGCACAGGTACATATTGTAACATTTCTTTTTAGCAAAGGACAATGTATAACAATAACAACGTGAGAACAAACGCTCACCTTTTTACGGAGTCGTACTTGTCCTGTGATAACAGCAATGGCAAACATTTTGAGGATCAGAAGTGTGCTGTAAAACACAAATGATGCAAACACTACGTTTTCCAGCATGCTTGCCTCGGTGTCTGCAAGTTATCAGTGACGCTTTCCCTGCTCTGTTGGTTGTTTTAAACTTTCACGGCTAAACGCACGACCTAATAACCACTTCTGCGACCTTCCCAAAAAAAAAAAAATAATTGCAGCTTTCTCTGCATTTTCGTTTCTTAACCCTTGAGGGTGCGGAGGAAATTGACTTTCCGTTCAAGTCTACTGCTATACCGCTGGTCAAATTACCTCCATTACCAAACAAGGAAAAAAGTTTTATTAAATAGGGCTGCGGCGCTAACCGCTACGTCACCGTGCTGCCATCTATATTATAAAACATCTGTTGGATCGTGGGTCGTTGGGACAACCTGAGACATCCGTCTGTGTGGAGTTCAAATCTCTCTCCGGATGACGAACTACCGAAGATATGTCCATTCAGGACGTAGTCTTACCTTAGAAAACATATGGCGAAGATACAACATCCACTTCCAACAATTTGTGACTTTCTAATAACGGATATATGTTACATATCGCATTTTAATAATATAAAAAAAACACAGAAGTAAAAATATCACACCCTGTAATTTAATCTCGCCAGAAATTATTTGTGCCAGAGAAAATTATTGACTTTTTTTCAAACAATGGGCTGGGAAGTTATTTTGTGTTTCACTTCATGAAAGTGGTATGCGTTTTATTAATGATTAGTGGGAAGAATATGATTTAAGCTAAGGATAATTTGAAACACCAGAATTCATCAATGTTACTTGTAACTGTATTAATTGAAGATGTTTTTGGGGATTACTGATTAATTATTTAAACTAAAGCTGCAAAGATGACTTACCCCTTGTTACAGGGGTTCGTGAGACATACTGTATAGCCGTTCAGTATTGTTGTTTGAAATCGGTCAGTTTACTGCAGGGGTCTCCAACCCTTGTCCTAAAGACATAGTCTTATACGTAATCTGCTTTTAAAGATTGGCAACACCTATAAGAATGAATCAAGCAAGGATGTTCAGTTAAGAGAATTCTGGTCCTTAAGGGGTGAAGAGTGCTTCGAATCCAGTCCTAAATTATTTCTAAAGTACTTAATCTGTCAAGTCAGCAGTTTAATTGACCGCAAAGTCATTTAACATACAGTAAATTAGTGACTTAACTGTGAGCTACAAAATCTGCTGGACTGAGGCACTTTGTGACCATACAGATCACTGGAGATCTCTGGGCTGCAGGGTTACACAGTATAGGCAACATTTCAAACTCTCTGCTATGGATTTATCTAGAATGCTACAGTAGTTAAGACCTGACAAATACTTTTGCCAAGCAAGTCCATATCTGGCAACTTGTGTTTATATCCCTATGATATAAACAAGAATGAATTCATATAAAATAATTCACCATATTTGTTTTTCAGGAGTCAATTGGACAAATTGTATTAAGTGTTCAAACCAAATGTTTAAGGTTGCTCATCAAGATCCAGCAGAGAGAAATGACGTATTAAGCTAAGTGGATTGCTCCTGCCACCCATGGTGCATCTCTGCATCTGAGCGTTTCTCACCACAGCCCAGAGTTAGTAAATGTTTCCTGGAAAAGAACTAATGAACAGCAATTATAAGCACTACGGCACCAGTCTATAATTGTGGCAACATGGAACTGTGCTGGCAGGTTTATTAAGCTTGTTAAGTCTTGAGCTAACTTCTCTCCAAAAATCATAATTTGATCTGGTTACAGAGCTAGGTAAACATCTGATTGTCTTGGTCTGTTCCTGGTTGTAAGTATATGGGAGAGGAAAACCAATCTTTTTTTTACCATTTGTTTCTTGTTACCTACTTATGTAAGACAAAAAGAAAGCATACCTGTGAAACAGATAGCTCTATCACCTTCATCATTTTGAAGAGTAAGTGTTGTTTTAAGAACACCAGAAATCCATCCAATGTCCTCATGGCAGAACTGGGTGAATGTGGTCTTCACTAAGGCCATTATCTGTGTAGGCAGAAGACAGAATTGTCTATTTTATTTGTAATTTGCTGCAGCACCGTGGCACCATCCAACCTGCGGTCTGTGTGGGTCCTAATGCCCCAGTATAGTGGCAGGGACACTATACTGTAGTGGGCACCATCTTGCGGATGAGACATCAAACCGAGGTACTGAGTCTCAGTGGTCATTAAAGATCCCCATTTCTCTAGAAAAGTAAGGAATTATCCCAGTGTCTGGGTCAAATTTCCCCTCTCAGCCTTTACCCTGACCTCCAAATTGTCCCCATGTATGATTGGCTTGTCCTTGCCCTACGATAGACAAGCGCCCTGTCCAGGGTGTACCCTGCCTTGCGCTTGTTGCTTGCCAGGTAGGCTCCGGCTTCCTGCGACACCATATGGTATAAAGCAGTTTGGCACAGTGATTAATATTGCTGCATTCCAGCACATGGGCCTCAGGATTCAATTCTAGACCCAGTGTGCTATCCTCATGAAGTTTGTGTGTTCTCCCCATACAAACCATGTTGGTAGATTAATTGGCCCTGGTGTGAGTGTGTGCCCTGTGATGGACTGGTGGCACTGCCTGGCACCTGTTTCATGCCACAGTAGGCCTCAGCTCCCCCTCGACCCTGAGTTGGATTAAGTAGTTAGATAATGGATGGATGGAAAAGCATTTAATGATAAGCATCAGGTACACAAACAGGGAAAAAAACACAAATACTGAACAGGTTGTTTTCAGTTGCTTTAGAGTAGGTTGAAGAATCCATTTGTATTATTCTAATATATGACTCAGCCCAGACTAGCTCAGTTGGTAGAGCATGAGCCTCATAATCTCAGGGTAGGTTCATGTCCCACGTCGGGCGCAAGGTTCTCTAATAACCCATACTGGGCAGCAGCAGTATGGGGTGGTGTTGGCAGCGGAGGGTCACATTTCAATGACAACGGCAACAGCACTCACACTACCTGCGTGGAAGAAAGGCCTGGGAATCTACTTCCGTATCTTGCCAAGAAAAGTCTCTGGATAGTGACAGGTGGAACTGTCCATAGGGTCACCATTAATCAATACTGACTCGACGGCATTCAACCACCACCAGTATATAACTCACTCAACAGCATTAAGGGGTATTTTGTGGACATTGAATAACAGTAGTATACCCTGCCTTGGGCCTGTTGCTTACCATAAGCTCCAGCCATAGATGGATGGTAATAGCTCTGATGATAACTACCGATTTAGGATTTTAAAATATTTAGCATTTTTCTGAGTCTCATAGTATAGATCAGATAAGATCACTTTATTAGCCATATACAATTTCCTGCATTAGGAATTTGTCTTTTCGCATACCCCTTCTTGCTCTCCATTACACAGACAGGGAGAGAAGCTTGGGGTCAGAGCACAGGGTCAGCCATTGTACAGCACCCCTAGAGCAGCTGGGGTTAAGGGCCTTGCTCAGGGGCCCAACAGAATAGGATTCCTCTGCCAGCCACAGGATTTGAACCAGCAACCTTCCAGCCACAGGCACAGATCCTTAGCCACAGTGCCACTGCTGTTTTGTCTGTTTGCTATAATTTGAATATTTGTCCTTGTCAGAACAGCTGTACTGCATTTCTCACTTTTGTGTTTAATAAAAACACTTCAGAATACTGCTGACACAGGTGTCAATGTACGTATGAACAGCTCATAATGAAAGTGTGGAAATGATATGAATTGAGTACAAATGAAAACAGTCATTTAGGCCGATATATGCAACCTGCTTTGCAAAAGCCAAAGTTTTCCCATTGATATCTATACACTTTCAAGGATGCTATGATAATATATTTTAAATTAAGTGAAAATGCTTTTGCAGCTTCTTTCAAGTTTTTGTTTTGATGATTGTTGGCCAGATTTAAAAAGAGGTTAAATTCACTTCAAAGAAACTTGGACTGGTAGAGCAGGTCTCACATGTATGTTCTACATTGTGTACTTACATGACAGCCAGCAGCCATATCACCCTGCAGCTCACAACTGGTAGCCCACTGAAGCTTAGCAGGGTTGGGCCTGGTCAGTACCTGGATGGGAGACCTCCTGGGAAAGCTAAGGTTGCTGCTGGATGAGGTGTTAGTGGGGCCAGCAGGGGGTGCTCCCCCTGTGGTCTTTGTGGGTCCTAATGCCCCAGTATAGTGATGGGGGCACTATACTGTTGTAATGCTCTGTAGAAAGCGATGGGCATGACAAGGCACAGAAAGATGTCCTGGTCATCCACTGCAACCAAGGAAGTTTCCAGTCGTGACGACTACTCATACCACTGGACCCAGGCTTCTGAGGTTGAGAGAGTGGGACAGCCCCAGTGCAACAGTCCCACACAGGTTTCTTTGTACAGCTCAGCTGTTTGGAAGAGTACAGCTGTCATCATCACACATGATGGACAAGCATCATCACCTACATGACAGTTTCATTTCAAATAATTGTAGCCTTTGTCGTATATACTATAGTTAATTCATCACCGAAATTGAAAGGCTACTTTCTATCATTTGCAAATTGTGTTCAAAACATTTTGTGGTATCTTTCATGCCGTATCAAGCTTAGTTTTGTAGTCATTTAATACAGTGCCAATTTGAGCAAAGTTCTGCATTTTACAGACCATGATGGTATTTTTCTATCATTATGAGTTATTGATGACTTATAATAACTAAGACGTTTGGCTTCTAAGGCTTGAGATTTTAATATTGATTATGCAGTTGAGGTTAGCTCAACTTTTCATTTCCTACACCCTCTCAAAGCACAGACTTAATTTCCTTCCCATAAAACTGTATAATAATCTACTTCAGAAATGTGGAACCATTTATACACAGTTCCGTGTTTAAACTAAACTTTGCAGCACTAACCACAGAAGAACTGTGGGCAACCTATCACTGGATTTATCAGGACATTAGGCTGATTTGTTTTTTCCTTTTGACATCCACACACTTAAAAAGAAACAGAATACTTTTTTTTCTTGAAGTTTTGCCTTCAGTAAGGCTCTTATTCAGGCAAACAATCAAAACAAGTCATTACACATGCAGTCACATGTTTAAAAAGATGTCCATTCAGCTTTAGTAAGGAATTTATATCCTTAGAGAGTCGCAGGTAGCCTGAGTTCTAGCCTGGCAGAAAAAGGGTACAGGACAGAGCTATATCATGTTTGGGCCACCAGTCCATTTCAGTGTATGCACCATCATACAGAGAGGCAATTGAGAGACAACCATGTGTTTGGACTGTGAGAGGAAACAAGAGCACTTGCTCGCCAATAGCCATATCACCCTGCAACTCACAACTGG